ATGTCATCAAAATGTTGGTCATCAACAATGGAATGTAACACGAATTAATTTTCATAAAAGTTCCATTTCCTCCAAACATGATAGGGAGTAACAGAATGACAAGGAATTTTAAAATTATATTTATATTTATTAGGTAAGAAGCATATACAATACAATTATTTCCTTAATTGTAGCTTACTCCTGGCTCTGTTGTTATATGTCTTATTTTCCTTGTGATTTGTTGTTGGTGTTACTACTTGTCAATAATGTATGGGTCCAAAATCTTAACAGTCTTACAACTCATTTCTTCTTTTCTTTCTCCGTGTGATTGTTCTTCATGTTTTGCTGTCAATACTTGTTAATTGTTGTTATTGGCCGTTTTATTTTACCTTCTTCTTGAAGTACCTGTGTGGTTGGTGTTTAAATCTCGTAATTTATTGGTTCTTGGCTAGAAAATGTTGATTTAGTTTCCCATAGGAAGTGCAGGTTTACCTGTACAATGGGTGAGTCTTCTATACAAGAAACCCATTTATACCCACACAAAATTGTACGTAATATTTCATGGCAATTGACCACTTGGTTGATCACAAAGGAAGATGGGAATGGTAATAATGTATGATGGGGTTGGTAACACATAGTCTCAGTAAAAGTATGTTTTAAAAATACTGGAGGGTAAGAATCTAGCTAATACCTTTGACTATTAATACTAATACACTGGTTATAAATAAACTGGCTAAGCCTGCTCAAGAAAGGTGCAGGAAGGGGGAGTCATCTTAATTTTAGGTTTGTAGGTCCCTCCAACTGATAGGAAAGTTCCCATCTTGGGAGTTGAGAGAGGTTGCATGGTTGAAGACTGGTTTAACATCTTGTCTGTGTCCTTTCATACAAGTACAAAGACTGTGGGTGGTTAGTTAGATCTACTTATTGGGCTGGGCATAGTCGGCACTAAAATTAATTGTCAAACTAAATATTTCTACTCTATGCAATATGTGGTTTTTCTTAGACCAAATTTCTTAGATCTAAATTTCTGATACTTTGATTTATTTCTGATGGTTTGTTTGAGTTTCATAATACCTATTTGCTGTCGTCATGTTTTGCTTCACACGTTCAATTCAAGACAAGTGCATGAAATTCTATGTTACTTTATATTTTGATATCTGTAATTTTACCTTTTTTTTAGTTCCGATTTGGCAAGTTAAAATTTTAAACTGGGAAGTTGGTTTTCTCATATTGTTCGGTTTTCATTAAACAACTAGGTGAATCGCGTTGAAATCGACATTTACTCTTGACGTTTTACGTAAATTCAGCTAACTGCGATGGATAGAGGTAAATTATTAAAATCTTAGTTTAAAAATTAAGGGAGGATAAACATAATTATGAGTAAGACGATTGTGTACCTTAAAAAAACGTGGTTAATGAATTCGTTGAATTCAATATTTTCTGTCCTTTCATCGGCTTTAGGTTTCCCAAAAGGCAATTCAGGAGTCTTACAATTGTTTCTTGTTCATGACATTTGTTCATGTTAAAGCCTCTTTCACTATATGGGGAAAGGAGTTCATATAATTGGTCTGTCATCTGACGGAAAGAGTCAATATTACTAAAATAATTGGTTCCATCTGCTTTAGGAAAATCATTCAGATCGTATTTGGATTGTATAAGTGAATGAATGAAATGAAATGAAATGTGTTTATTGTCCTTAGAATTTTCACAAATTATTGACAAAGTCATACAACTGCTAAGGTTTATAGCATAGCATTTTTTTCACCATCTTTGGTCATAAAAATACAGAATTTTATCAGCAGGAGGCATATGAAATCTGTTTTTTTATTTGATAAATTTATCTGATTCTCCAGAAAGCAGTAACATTCTTACTTCAATGGGGGTCTAAACAATTTTGATTCCTTCTCTTGCCACATCGACCAATGTATTTCATCATCATGTACTTATTTGCTAATTGATTAACCTCTGACTTAGTTTTGTGAAATCGTGCCATGAGGATGCTGTCAAAATTGAACTTTATTGATATGCTAGGGGCAAATGTCTGTGCCGTATCGATCACATAAGGCTGTGCATGTATTTTTTGGATGGGATGGACCATAATTGAAGTGAAATGGCCACAAATCTTAAACATTTGCAGAACCACATCCATAACCTAGTTCGGCTTTGTTGGCAACATATAATGCAAATGAGATGAGATGTGAAAGCACTGTTTTATTTCCATGTGTATGTAGTGAGGTGTAGATGTGTTGTTTAACATAGCTTGATGTGTACATCAAAGTAAAAACTCTGTACAATTTTTTTTTAATACCACCTGAATTGCTCTTAAATCAACTTCTTCAGCAGCATATACTTATGACACAAAAACCATAGATTTAACAAACTCTGTGGTTAGTCTCTGCCAAAATTTGAATACAGCTCACATCTTCAACGTACTACTCTACACTTGCATGGCTTTTATTGTATGACACAATTTTCTACCCGATTATCGAAAACTTTTATGCTAATAATCTCACAAACCTCTTACGATTTTTCTTGAATGTAATAATAAATGATTATTGAAAGTAGACCAAAAAAAGCAAACGCCAACCCCTACAATAAATATAACCTAACCCGATAAGGAATAGTTATCTGTTCCTTTAAAATTGATATGTCCCACTGATTTCATAATACAATAATTTCTAAGTGCATTAAAACATAGATTTTTAACAAAAAAATTAAAACGTATCATAAATTCATCATTTTATTCAAACTATAAAAAACTTGCCAGTGGAAAATCAATTTTATAATCATAAATAATAACGTAAACATTTGATTTTGACAGATTCAGTAAATGCTTATTACAATTTTAATATTAACAGCGGTTTCATTAAAAAGTAGTGTAAAATTATCCATATGGTCGTAATGTAAACAAATCTGCTGAGGGGACTTTCAAGGCCTCTGGGGCAGAGCTCTGAGGGAATTTACCTCGTTTCTCTTTTGATGGCTCATCTACAGACCAAGACATTTCTTATGAGACCCCTACCAAGTTTCTACGCCCAGCCGTTCTCTGAAATTAGCTGTGACAAAAACCTGTTTTCCCCCATAAGAGTAACATGGGATGGGAATTTAAAGGCCACTGGGGCAGAGCCCCAAGGGAATTTACCACGTTTCTCTTTTGATGGCTCATCTACAGACCAAGCCCTTTCTTTAGACACCTCTACCGAGTTTCTACGCCCAGCCGTTCTCTAAAATTAGCTGTCACAAAGAAAAACAGTTTCAAATTAATATATAGATTAGAAGTAATATACATGTGTTTGCAATATGATAATGAAGTCAAATGAGTTGCCAAGTTTGAACAAAATATATCCATAAACAAGCAAACTACAACAGTTAACTTATTCTCCATAAGAATAACAGGGAATTTTAAATTTACTATTTTTATAATAGTCTCTGTAGCCAATAACCGTACAAAAACACTTCAATATAGGTACTAAGTTATTCGTTTTTTATGCTGTTTAAAATGGTTTAAAGAAAACATTGTAAATTTAATGTCTTAAAGGTCAACATTGAGAAAAAAAATTTACCCTATAAAACCACCAATAAACCCATGGTTCGATCATGCTGGTTCGCGAACTCATTCAACTCTATCGTGCTTCTAATCTATGCCTTGCTCATGTCCTCAGGTTTAAATTTTGCACTGCAAATTTTACTAAATGGAGGCCCAATGATCATTATTAATAAGGTTTACTTTTGGTGATGGTATGTTTATAATATTTTTACAAAGATTATTGCAAGTAAAATTTGGTTTCACTAATAAAATCATGACTGTATAATGTTATGAAAAGCATGTATGGTTGCCAATAGAAAAGCAATATTAGGTCTTGGTAAACAATTTGGTGTTTTGTACATTTGTCCTACTTTCGTCATGAAAATATATAAACTGTGTTCACAGTAAAATCAAAAGCGTTCAAATGGCAAGACATCATCATCATATCCTATAATCTTTAACATTAACCTCTTCTTCTGCAATCATGGAATCGTTATCATTGTCTCCTGCAATTTTGGCAAAAGTGTAATGTTTTGTGCTCATAAAATTGTTGCCCACGTTTGCAGCCAACAACTGTACTTTTCCACAGTTGAAGGAAATTATTGCACAACCAAAACTGATATTTTCCATCAATTCTTTTGGTTTTGGTATATTTTTTGTAAAAATTGTAGCCTAAAGCTAAAAATTTACTTAAAAATTAAAACGCTGGTCCATCCTTAGTTTTAATACATTGAAATGTGAATTTAAAGTTCATTCCTTCAATTAAAATTTCTTTGGTCCCTAGAACTACCACATTTGATTTTGAATGATTGCAATTTTTTCTACCGTTTATGAATAGCAACGGTAGTTTAACTTTTAGTTATACAGTTTAGTTTAACCAAAACCTTTGACTATCAATACCAATAGCCAATACTAAATCTCTGCACAATGTAGCAATAATACTGCTCACCACATAAGCCAGTCAAAGTCATTGCATACGCCTTTCCCTACACCTTCACCACCCTTAATGTCGGCAACACCATTTTGCCATCGTCAGATCTCTACCTGCTATCGCGTTGCGTTCATAAAACCTTGTTTAGCCCATCAGTCACACATCTTACAGACCTGTTAACATTTTTCAGTGTCTTATTTCATGTGTAAGTGTTGAAATTGTTTATGCTTGTAAAATCAAGCAATTATTATGTCACTATAAAATATAAACCAAACTTTTTAACCTGCTTAAAAAATATAGATTTATTAAATCCTTTTATCTACTGAATACATGTGTTTCCGAAACAGTTGTGGAAATAAAAGTGGGACTTGTCAATTTTAAACCTTTTATGTCCTGTTAGGCCTAACTTATCTAATTTGAATTTTTCAATATCCTTATTCCAATTTTTTTTTTTTTTATTGCCCTAGAGTTAAAATCAACTAAGTAAACCCATATTAAAGCTTGCCCAAATTCAGTAAATGGGTTCTCAATCATATTTACAGTGTGAATTTATTATTTTTTCAGGAGAGAGTTCCAGAAGCAGAGGGCAACAGAGATGGTAATCCCTTTTTGCGTGTCAAGTACAGAGAGTCAATGCACCTTGTTGACATAGATAAAGAAACTGCTTTGCTAGTCCTGGGAACTGTAAACAGTTTCATGGATCCAACAGCTAAAAGCCTCAACGCGAAATATAACTTTGAAATGGATTACAGAAATGCTGAGAAAACTGTTGGAAATGTTGTGTGTGTAAAAAACAAAAATCCTAACTACGACTATGTGTACATTCTTATTGTGACGGAAACTGAAAAAGACACAATCAAATTCTCAAATTTGGAATCCTGCTGTAGCAATCTGTCGAGGATGCTGCGTAAAGACCAGTACAGGTATGTCGGCATCGAGTATCCGCAGGGGTGGTCCGAAGAGAAGACATTTTTTGAAAAAATCCTAACCCTTTTCCGTACTACCCTGCCAAAGTCAATGGAACTATGGGTGTGCTTTCCCCAGCCGGACATGGATTTCACCAGAGCAATTGTAGTGAACAAAGATGTGAGAGTAAAAGACAACAAAGACAATAACAGTGCTAAGTAAGGGTATTGATATACCACAGTATGTTGACCAAAGAGTTTGGCTGGCACACTGGTGCTTTTAACCAAAGACTGTTTAGTTTCCTTTACCACGAGTATTTTTATCCAAAGTGGATTTTATTATTATGGCATTTTTATCTTCACTGTGACTTTTTCTTGTAGCGTAAGCGTAAGACTTTTTTAAAAGGTGACATCATGCACGGGATTTAAATACCGACAGTGTACTTTAAGAGTCCACATAAGCATTTAAGCTTCTTGTTCTTTAATTTTATTAGTATATTGTTAAATTCTATTGTGGTATTTTTACTATACTGAATATTTAGCTTACTCTTGAACATCTTCGACAAGCATTAAAAAATCTTTAGAAATCCTCATTATTTATTTCAGTTGCTTTTAATTCTGTAAAGATGGATATCATTTATATAATATGAATTAATTTCTAAAAACTTCTGTCCTGAGAAAAACATAAACGAGTTGTTAATTCAGACTTCAAAGTGGCCCAATTAAACTCCCCATGTAACTAAAAATATAATTGTTAACGTAAAATACTGTGGAAAGAAATTCGTTAAGATTGTTAACTGCAAGTATGATGCCTCCTTTTAAATTTATTTCAGTAGAAAAGTGTTATATCATTTGTGCAATGTTTTACTATTAATATAGGTAACCTTGATTAGTAAAGGTGTCATTTTTCAACTATATATACCTCTATAATTATAGACCTATTGTTTTGTTGCTTATCCTATTTACATTCAAGTGTACTTCAAGTGTTCAAGCAATATAGTATATTGGTTTCATATTAGAATACATTGTTGCCTACTTGGGCCATCAGCTGAAGTGCCTGAAGTTAATGGTGTCCTTACATTGATTTACAATTTTGAAAATTAAATTTTCATCAGTTCCTAATGTAACAGCAGCAAAAGATTTTATAACGGAATGTAGAATCAGCATTTTGACTGATGTTGTAACTGGTGGGTTTTGTTTCAACCAGATACAAAATATGGGATGTCATAAAAATTTATTTCATTTTATTGTAACAATACATTTTTGGTATAAATTTAGTACAAAAGTTAAAACCTATTGACTTACCTGTCTTAATTACAATGTAAATTTCTCTTTGGGACACCATTAAGCTCACATTATTCAACACGAGTTGCTTGGTTTCAATAACACAGCAATATAGTAGTTTTATGAAATATAGCAATTCTGAGACTGTCTTTTTGTATTTTTATATTTATAAAACATGCACAGTAGAACCTCAGTAATCTTTAAATGGGCAGCCTTAATTTTATATGGGTAATTTTTTTTTTTAGACAATATTAAGCTGTATTGATTGAGGTGCTGAATTATTGAGGTTCTATTGTATTTTGGCAACTAAACCGAAGTAGCCTCATGTTTTTATTTTACAAATAGTTACTACAAAGGTATTTTTTCAAGATTACCTAACACATAGCAACGTTTTTTCCCCAAACGGATCTCAAACCTGTCGCACAGTTACAATATGCACTGTCTCAATTGACAATACCATCTGTGAATTCAGTGCCTTTGTATCGTAGTTTTCCAGTTCCTAGCGGTATGTGATTTGTAACGGCTGTGGTAACATTGCTAATTTGTAAATTTATTTTTATTTTTGTAGTTGGTGTTTTCACTGCTCAAAAGACTGGCAACTAACATTACAATATACTTAGTCAATGTAAACTCAATTTAATAACTAGCTCCGTCAAAAACAATTAAGGCACTGGTAGTAACTTTTGCCAATTTATTTTTGTTCATGTTGTAGTTGATCTTAGCCTCCTCTAACACAAGGCCAAAACAACACATGGCCAAGGTTGGGGGGTTGTTGTGATGCCTATTGCCATGGTAACAACAGAAATAACAGAAGTGTAAACAAAAACATTATAATTTAAAGCAACAGCTGTTTCGGTTTGATGGATAAGCAGTGTTGCCAAAGATATATTTGTACAATATATTGAAAATGAATTAGTCTAAAACTAACAAATTAAAAAATAGCCTAAGCTATTTCTTTCCTTGCATTAAAAATTAGCATCATCGTTGGTTCAAAAAATGCACAGTACAGTGGTGAAGACACCAAATAGTAGGCGCAAACAAATTATATGTTACCTTTTGTGCCATCTTTGTTTTTGTTTAAGGAGATTACTTTTGAATTGTCTCTCTGTAAATAGATTTAGTGTTAGTGAAAGTTTATTACATTCAACTCAGTATTGCTCAAGTTGGTTTATTAAAAGTTGTTATCTCTTGCCTGAGTATTCAAAGGTCATCAAAGGACATTGGTTAAGTTTACTAGAAATTTATTTTAAAATGTGGGGTAGTGTTGTAAGTAGGCCTACCGGTAACGATTATTTATCAAATCAACTTTTTTCCAAATTCATATAGAAACCCAATAGATTGGGGAAAAAATTAATTTACAAAGAAGTCGTACACAACCCCTTACAAACCTAAAAGTGTTAAATGATACTGTATGATATTACCAATTTAGTGTTATAATTGGTAAGACATCTAAATTATTAAATGTAAATTAAAAGTAATTATTATAAGTGGTAATCTTGATAATTTTGACATGACTTGTTGTTTTTTCTGTTGAGAAGTGTCTAAAATTACTTTAAACAAATAATTACTCTATTCTGAAGTTATTTGTGTGTATTCTCTCCAAAAACTGGCTTATATTGACAAAGCTGGGTTGAATTTTGATTTTAAAAAACATCCAAAGGAAAAATTTGGCTCCCAAAAACAATATTTCGTAAAAAATTTCTCTAGAGCTACCCTGTATGGATCCTGTCTCACTGACTAAATAGTACTGTTAACGTTTCATGATCTTTAAGTAAATTTTGTTGTCTAAACTATAATCTTGCTTGGTATTTTAAATATCTGGAATTGAATAATGCAAAAACTTCATGAACAAAATTTAATGATTTTGACCAACATATTTTATACATTTAAATGGTTTTATTTACCATGCACAGTTCTAATCCATAAATATATAGTATTATTGTTAGGGTTCATAAAACATTGTAAGTTGCAATGCCTTAAAAAGATATTTTTTGAACATCTTTTGTAGAATAAAACCGACCAACTATATTCCTATTTTGTAACTACTTTATCCTGATGTATAAAACAGTATTTATGGTGCTAAAACTGATATTTAACTCTAAAATGTGGAAATATATTTGTGGTTGTTTCTGCAACTAAATTTGTGTAATTTTTATCTGCTTAGTTGAGCAACTTAAATATGTAGTTATGAAAAAAAATTTTTGCTGCCAAATTAGATTTTTTTATGAGAGTATAATATGTAATAGACTGTTTATATGAACTTGGTAATGTACTGTATAAAACATAACTTATACTTCGAGAAAATTATTATAATTACCATTCCAGCAACTTTTAAATTGAAATTAGCTATGAGTATTTAAAAAAAAAATAAATATTAGTTGATTTGTTGTACTATTAATGAGGAGAACCACAATTAAATAATAACGAAACGTAGACATTACTAATATTAATGCTTTATAAAATTAAAAACCTGATTTAATGTTGCATAGCTAGTTTTAATTTGTTTTTCAAGCTCACGTAATGTCTGCAGTTGCAACACAAATTTAACCTAAACTATACTGTGTATAGTTGCATAACAAACACAAATTGACTTATTTTTCATTGTATTACATTTTGAATTCATGAAAATTGAGAAAAATGTCATCTACACTGTTTTATTTCAATTATTGTGAATTTTTCAAATTTGTAATGCCACTAAAGTTTTATCACACTGATATGGTTTATTGCATTTTTCTCAATTTTTAAAAGACAGCTTTGCATTTCCAACTTGTATATATCTATTACTATGAGTTACATGAGTTATTTATGTGCATGTATTTGCACATTTACCTATTATATATTTTATGACCACCATTTATGGTTGCAATATTGTTCGTTATTCAGTTTAGTTGATATTTCAGTAATGTATTTTCACATAGTGTAGTCTCACTATTGATTTTAGACATGTGTGTCGTTACTTTTTCATTCATAAAATAAATACAAAACCAACTAAAAAGTTTTCAGCAATAAAAAATTGTTTTTATTCATCTGTTTATTATTTTCCAAATGACCCACTCTAATTTTTAATTAAACATCCGATTTACAAACTTAATGCCGACATTTTCCATCAAGTTTATTTTAACAAAGTTTTCACAATATTTTATGATCTGAAATTTGGTCCTGTCATAGACAAATAGAATAAATATAGACTGTCCAAGGAAGGTTCCACGATGTGCTGCTAGAGTGCTCAGTGTTCGATTCGCTGCCTTCGTCCGAATCTTCGCCGTATGCTATCAGCAGACGCTGCAGCTATGTGGGCTGCAACTACACACGGCACTCCTAGCAGTGGACCAAGACCCCACTACACTACAGGCCGGAGTCAAGCCGTGGTGACGTCACACAAGTCGCCGAAACTCAGCGCCAGCAATACACGGGGATAAAGCGGGTTTTGGTGTCGCACTTTGATAAAACTGCCCCTGATCGTCAAAATGAATTAGTAAAATATATGTATTATATGCCATTGTAATCTGCATAAACTGACGATTGCATCGGTGTAACTCTTGGATCTCCAATGATTAACATATATTTTTAAATCTGATAATAAAACGACACTTGAGGACGTTGTATGAGTGATATTAGTAATACCTGTATGTTTTTCATATTTGATGGTAAAAAAAAAATACTTTATCACGGTAATAATTGCCTCTATACCATTTTGTGCTATAAATTAGTTTGTTATCTTGTAGGCCTATGATAAATACATTATGTACAACTAATTTAAACAAATATATTTTGGTTTAATGAAACACTAAATAATTATAACTCAACGTTTTATTTCTCATTAGGTTTATTCAATCACATAAATTTCAATCTTAACAGCAATACAGTAAATGTTACCGTTAGCACAGGATAACACATCAATAAAGAAATATTAAAGTCTATATACATATATACATTTATCTGTAGAAATGTTTTTTCATCACTCCGTAACGAAAGTAACTATTTTCGATAACAGCTGACATCAATGAAAGTAGCCGTTTCCCAAGCTCTAATTTAGGGCGAGGAAAAATCGATCAGCTGATTTTCCCTCGCTCTAAATTTACTTTCGTCGCTCTCAATTAGTTCTCCATTTATTCACTACGCGCGCTAGTGTTTTGTTACAGTTTAATTTAATGATTTGAATCAGCTGTGTTTATTGTTTGACAATCTAAATGTAAACATAAACACGCATAAGCTTGTTTTGCTGTGTTTTTAGCTTAGTGCGTATTTAAAAGCGGCCAAAATATGTCTATTATTTCGGACGATTTATCGAAGAAAGCTTTAGAGATAACCAAAAACCTCCTTCCAGAGAAATCGAGAGAGAGGTATAATGAGGAGTTCAGGAAGTTTATGGACTGGTGCCAAGGACACAATGTTTTACCAAAGAATGTAAGTGACGAAGTTTTATTAGTATATTTATCTGAGAAATCTAAAAGCATGAAACCAACAACGTTGTGGAGTAAATTTTCTATGATAAAGAGTGGTTTGAAATTAAAAGAAAATGTGGATGTATCAAAATTTAACAAATCTCTAGCATTTCTTAAACGTCAATCAGTGGGTTATCAACCTACAAAAGCTAAGGTTTTTACTGAAGACGAAATTCAAAGATTCATGGTTAACGCTCCTGACAATGAATGGTTATTGAGCAAGGTCATCCTAACTCTGGGTATTTATGGAGCTTGTCGAAACCACGATCTTATAAATTTAAAAGTAGAAGATATATCCATTGGAAGAAAATTACAACTGTCAAGAAAACTGTTTAAAAATCCGCATGCAATGAGTTCAACAGCTGCTGAGAATACAAACAGAAATGTTGTAGAAAAAACACATTCAGGAAGCCAAATAGATTTTTTTGACATTGATCATGTGTTTAACAACTCAGAAGATGAAGAATGCCCTCAGAGAAAAGTAAGAAAAGTTGATGAAACAAACACGACCACTACAAACGTTTCAACGATTCAAGAACTTCAGAAAAAAACTTTTAAACGAAGGAGTGAATGTCTCCAACAATGAAAACTGTACAATAAACATAACCATAAACTTCTAATTTTTTGATTGTTAAGTAGGTTCCCTTTAGATTTTTTTTATGTTTAAAAAAAGATTAATCGAGAAATATACAAAGGTTTCCTTTTAGAAGATTTTATTTTGATGTTTAAAATAAATAATTTAGAAATAAACTAGTTGTAATATTACTGAGGTCTGTTATTCTGTGTTTGTGTATTTTTGCGTCGTGATGAAAAGTATCGTTCATAACTCGTACCGAAAGTTATTTTCCGGCTCTTGCTCCATTATTCCCGTCCTCGGCTTCGCCTCGTACGTGAAAATAGCTCTCACATACTCGGCTTCGCCTCGCATGTGAAATTGGATTTTCCTGTGTTCGGCTTCGCCTCACACAAAAACTTGAGCGCGCTCCGGAAAATGCCACTTTCGGTCCTAGTAATGAAATATACTATTACAGTACTTTTTGATTCAATTGTGCTTGGGGTTTAGTTTATATGTTTTCATTTTCTTAATGCTTTTTTATTTTTACTATCCATTCCTTTTTTTGCTTTATCCCTGTTGAATTTGTCATTATAAGACTTGGAATAATTATTCAACAAGATATTACAAAAAGATGACAAACATTTGTCCACGAGATTCTACAGATTGATTCCACAGTCTTTACAATTTTCATCAGTTTTTGTATTCAAAAACCCTTCTACAGTGTTTCTTAATACTAACTTATTGTTATTACATTTCAAAAACTCTGTTTCATATCTCTCAGAGATAATAACCTTAAATACCTTGAATGACACTGTTAATAAATTCATCAAAAAATCTGAAGGATATTTAAGGGAGCCTCTATTAATAACATTGAAATAATAGTTATTTTCCTTCGGCAAAACAGCAAAAATAGTGTCGTCCAGAGTTAAAAACTCTTTGCAGGATACACATGGGTTATTTTTAAGAGCGCTATGTGCAACATAGCCACCTATGTAAACAATGCCTAATAAATCATTATCAGACACAAATACGTCAGATAAATCAACCAGCCTATCATCAAATAATATTTTTCTTGGATATCAATATCATCTACTGGGGATTTGTTATCTTCTGATGAAACTAACAAATTAGATGATACAAATTTCATTACATTTGGAAGATGACAACTTTATAAGACTAAGTGTCTTTAATTTAGATTCTGACTCCAAAACTTGTTTTACAGATATGTGGTAGCACGCACCACTCATTTGTCTGTACTGCCCAAACCGTTCTTCCAAATTGTCAGTCTGAAATTTTCCTAACAATACATATTTAAATTGTAGGTCTTCTAATAAAAAAACTGCTATTTCTAGCATTGAGTCTACAGTGTGTTTTAAGGCAGTCTGTGTTTCATTGATGAGCTTTCCCCACCTTTTACTGGGATCCACATTTCCTTGTAATTGAAGATCATTCCAAAAACTAAGCCACAAAGAAAACTGTTTCAAAAATGTGTAGTTTTCATCATTGATCGAACTAATGGGTTTATAGTGTTTGTCTCGAAATTTGACCCACTTATACTAATGCTTAACATTAAATATCTTCATCTTCCACCATTTCAATATCAAACTTAGGAAATAAGCGGTACCACAATTAGTAGATGAACTTGTTACAGTGGATTGTTCATTTAATGCCGCAATGAATGTTTTTTTCATCAAAAAGTGTACAGCATAATGACACGTTTTGTCGTTCTATCGATGTCGGGTACAGTACCTTTTGTGAGAGTGCAGGTGCTAGTTTTACTACGTTATTTTGTTCATTTAAATGTAAAAGTTTTAAATCAGCAACACAGGCTGTATGTTTTATGGAAAAATCTTCAAAATCAGGAAATACAAATGATTGCTTAGCGTCTTTTTGATTAAGCCAATTATTTCTGATACATTTAAATAAATGAACAGGGTCAAACATAACAAATACATCCTGGGTTTCATCGAAAGGATTTAAAAACTTATGATTCAACTTTCCACCACAAAGCTTTTCAAACACGTTCCTATTAACTTTATTGTTGTCTGAAATCATACAAAGGATTCTAAACCCCATACCTGTAAGACATTTCAAAACATCCCTTATTGTTAAAGAAAGCAAAACATCACTAGTCAAATTTTTTACTGGAAATAATCCTACAACATCACGATATTTTGAACACACTGATGATATCATAAAGGTTTGAACTGTAGTTGCAGGTTCTACAGCATGATTTGTATTAATTACCAAACCTTCAATATGACTTCCTTTATATGTAACTTCTGGTTTAACATAAATTTCATCTAAAAGTAACAAGCAAAGCTTTTCTTTATCGTCAAGAAGATTTATTTTCTTTCTTAAATAGTTTATTTGGCCAGATTGAAGGCCTGAGTTATTAGTTCCAAGTTTAAATGTGAATTTACCCAAATACTTAGGATGGGGCATAGTAAAAAAACCGGCATTCCTGATGTTTTTATAGACACCAGGGAATGCAAACAAAAATGTTGCAAACCATAGCAATGTACTTATACAATAGGAAATCTTTTTCCTGAAAATTAGGTTAAACTGCTCTCTACAAAATTGGGTACTTTCCTGTTAAAGGGAACATTCATTATTATCGATGATTTTTTTCGATGTATCGATTTTTTTCCCTTTACGATACATTACAAATTGACAGCTGATATTTAGGCTAAGATATAGTCTGTTATATGGAAAGAAATGAATCTGTTCTACGCTAACATAACATAACCAACCAAACTTGCTGTACCATTTAAAAATTCCGTTTGATAACAGAAAAGGCGAGTGGAGAATATTAAATGGAGTTTTTAAATGTTACAGCAAGTTTGGTTAGTTTTGTTAGGTTTGTTTAGAACAGTTTTATTTCAATTTTTTTTTTTTATTTTTGTTCGTCGATTCTGAACAATATTTATTTATCGTAGTTGTCAGCTGATATGTTTCAATTTGTTAATATCGATATATCGAGACAAAATCATCGATAATAATGAATGTTCCCTTTAACAG